ATGTTTACCGAATGAAACATTGCCTCTTTAACAAATTGTGCTAGAAAAATCGGCTCTCTACATGCCGAAAACTAAAATTGGATGCAGGTCTGTCACTATTCACTAAACTAATGTCAAAGTGGATTGAAGATCTAAACATTACAACAGAAACATTAAATCTCCTGGAAGAGAAAGTACATGGAAATCTTGAGGACATATGGGTACACAAACATTTCAGGAACAAAAATCAAACTACACAGGAAATATTTGAAAGAATCAATAACTGGAATCTCCTATTATTGAGAAGTTTCTGCACATGAAAGGAAATTACCAACAGATTGAAAAGACAACCCACAAATTTGGAAAAAATGATAACTAATAAGCAGTCAGACAAAAGTCTGCTGTCTAGAATTTATAAAGAACTAAAAAACATTAAGGCTCCAAAATTTAAAGACACAATCCAAAAATGGGCATCTGAGATGAACACACACTTCTCAGAGGAAGAAATACAAGAGACAAATATATGAAAAAATGTTGCACATCACTAGTCATTCATGAAATGCAAATGAAAACAACACTGAGATACCATCTTAACCCATAAAGAATGGCTATCATAAAGAAATCAACCAACAACAAATGTTGCAGAGACTGTACGGAAAAAGAAGCCCTTCTCCACTGCTGGTGGAAATGTAGATTGGTGCAATCATTATGGAGAGCAGTGTGGAGACCCCTCAAAAAACTAAGACTTGAAATCCATTTAATCCAGCTATCCCCCTTCTGGGAATTTCCCCCAAAAGACTTGAAAATATCATATCATATTGACATATGTGTGCCTATGTTCATAGCTTCACACTCTGCAATAGCTGAATCATGGAAACAACCAAAATGCCTGTCACCTGAGGAATGAAGGAAAAGGATGTGGTGTATTTATACAATGGATTATTACTCAGCTATAAAGAACAATAAACTGGAAGCCTTCATTGGTAAGTGGATGCAACTTGAAGCCATACTCATAAGTGAAATAAACTAAACCCACTTGTGTAAATATTATATTGTCTCTCTAGTGTAAGAAATGAAAACGAGAAATAAAAATTGAAAGGTATGACACAGTTAAAGTGAAAGAAAGAACATAAGGATTAAACAATGAAGAGAGAAAAGAAAAAAGTTATGACATATGGCAGGAGCAAAACCATACATTTATATAAACAAGATGGTTAAGGCAATGGTCCTAAGAATCTCCATCAGGGTTTTGAAAAACAGCAGTTAGGGGGTAGAATTCTCAACCTGAATAACGCTATATGCTGATATCTGTGAATTAAGCAACTACACTGTGGTCAGAAATATGTAATACTAACACCACACTTAAAATAACTGTCATTTTGGTCTTCTAAATGCATACTGCTTATAATGTCATATCAATTATTGCTATACTCACCTTAAAGTAAATGTTTGTTTAAAAACAGTTAATAAAAATACAAGAAAAAAATCATAGGATTGTCCTATTAAAATATTAGATATGGATTGATTTCTAAATTTCTGTGTAAAATGTGTAGTTGTTTTTTCACATTTTATTAAATTTAGAATATCCTTGGCTGTGGGAAAATAACGGTTCCATTTTATGTCTAAGGCATTTGATATTCAAACAGTGATGTTAAACTTCACTGCCTCTATTACAGCGTAATAAGCTCCTTAAGTTTCTCTTCTGGGTATTTAAAAACTAAAGTTTAGAGACCAAAAATTAGAGAGATAGATGGGTTAAAAGGATAGCCAACATTTTGGCCCTAGCCCTTCAAGGTCAGTGAGAACTGAGGACATAAGAGAACCTGTACTGTAACATTCTGTAACTCAGTGTTGCCCCAAATTTTCCTATCAAGGAGATCATGAGGCCAGAAAGGAAAGTGATCAATAATATATAGTGTGTGTAAAAAGAGTAATCTATTGAGAAAAAAAATCTCTCAGGCTTTCACAGACAGCAAATTGGTCAAGCAATTGCCATGACTCATCCAGGTGGTTGAAACCGATAAAATATCTACAAGGTACTATACATGGTTACAGTGTAAAGTCCTGAGGGAATTTGACTGATCTTATCAGGTAGCAATGTTACATTTTTAGTTATACTGGTATTGCTTTAACTTGGTCTTAACCATCCAGCACAAAAGTATAACCAGGAGGTATAAAGAGTAAGGCCATATTAATATGCTGAGCTATAAAAGGCTCAAGTGAACAATTGCCTGTTGTACTGACAACTCACTACTTTTATGTACTATTGGACTATATTGGGTTGTTTTGCTGAATTCAGGTACCTATAATATTTGGACTAGCTTCTAGTATGTAAAGTTCCTTTAAAGACTTCTCCAAATACAGCTTCTCTAACAACAATGGAACAAAACAAAACAAAAAAGGGGGATATGTTGGGAGTCATGAAGCTAGGTCATTGATCCAATGTGTGTAGGTGGGACTAGGCCTCAGTGCCTAAAGCAAACAAGCTACCTCAGTCCTGAGATAAACATACTGTCTGGTGATGGTCATCTATTATTTGCTAGGCAACCTAGTATAATGTGTTACTAACTTTGCAGAAGTATAAATAAAGGACTGTTTTGTCATTTAAAAAAAAAATATATATACATTCATATATATGTTAGGATAGATATACAGCTAATTTCTTTTAGTTCCGTGAGAAGAAAGTTTGTGCTAAAATAGTTTACACAAAGATATTGTGTCTGTATCTTGTCTTCTGAATAACTACTATGAAGATAACAATATGCAATATATTAATTATTATTATTATTATTGTTATTATTATTATTATTATTATTTTGCAGAACCAGGGATTGAATTCAGGCCTTTGCACTTACCAGGGAAGCGTTTATTCTAATGAGCCATATTAATTATTGTAACTATCCTACTAACCTGTTTTGAAACTATGTCATGCTATTTTATCATTTTTCTCATTAGAATGATTAAAAAATTAAAAATTTTGCATTTGTCTACACTAATCAATATTTCCTAAAATACATACATATATGCTTCTAACTACTGTAGTTCAAACTACCTATTACTAAGGTCTATATGAATGAGTACCAATTTGAATATTTATTGACATATGTTGCACTGTATCTGTGAAGGCACTGGGCATAGATGTGGGTGGAATATAGAATAAGTAGCAGGTTCTCAACAAGAAATGAATTCTTGACATTTTTGAAAAGGAAAATCTTCCTGCATAGACTACTTCCATGACCTAATCATAACAAGAACTGACAACACTTGAAAATATGCGTTCAATTCATTCTTTTTTTTTTCCTTTTTTCTGAGACAGTCTCTCTGTGTAGATCAGGTTGGTCTTCAACTCAGGTAGTGCAAGATGACCTTGAATTCACAGCAATCCCTCTGCCTCAGCTTCCTGAGTATGGGGAAATGCAATCATGCACGGCCAAGTCAGCCTTCCTAATCTCTTACCGTATCTCAGAGCATAGACACAGGGTTTGTTGGAGAATTAGTAAAGAAAAGGGAAATAACTGAATGACATGGACAGCATCCTTCAAATAATTGACACTAAGGTGTCCATCCAACATAGCAACCTGATTCACGGGTAGCTCGCTGTTACAAATTTTCCCACTTTCCATCTGCAATAGTACTTCTCACACCCTAAAATTTAATGGAAGTAAGAAGCACATTACTTTGTTTTCATGCTGGTTTTATGTCTTTCCAGATATTTTTTTCTCTGTTTCAAAGTCGTTCTTCTTTAATGTCATTTTACCTAAATCCAATCGAAATTTAAAATTCCATTTGAAAGTTATATCACAAAAGAAATTCAAACTGAGCCTGTAGTTAATCATTTGACTCCTTCCAAGTCTTAACTGCCTCTTCTTCAGTTTCATCCACTATAAATATTATCATTGATTTTTATATCATTCATCAGTTCTTTTGAATCTCTATTGTTTGCCTGCCTAATGACTTAAGAACATATTGTATGATGAAATTATGGTAGTTTTTGGATACAAACTGTCTTGGAAAAGGCACGAGTCCTTAAAGTGCATATATGCTTTAGTGAGAACAAGCAGTATGCTACTCAGAGGGGGAGGCCCTGACTGAGGTCATTGAATCATGTTCAAGGGAGGAGTTTATTCTGGAAGGCAGAGGCAACAGGTGTGAACCCTGTTTTGACAAGAGCGTAAATCTGTACCTCACAGAAATTGTTTGTTGTAGCCCTCAGGTATTCTTGGAACCGTTTTGTTTATGAAATTAAATTGATTAGGTATTGATTATACTTTTAGTTTAATAGCATTTTCTAATTATGATTAGTATATTTAATATGAAAACGTTCTTGTAAGTGTACCTGGATATTTAAAAGATACCACTACCTTTTCTTATCACACTTTTATTTTTTAAAAACTTCTGCTACTTAATACTTAGATCTCAATTACTTTATTGTTTATTATAAGCACTAATTCTTAAACTAAAAAACAGCTTGAAATAATTTTATCTGTTTCATTTATGAAGTAGTCCTTTGTTTTGAAACTAATATTAGATCTTCCACATAGCCCTCATATTTGCTTTCTTTCTTGGTAGAAACTATTTATTGTAAATATGAACTAGACAAAAGAAACTAAAACACAATCTGTAAACTATTTCTGGTTTCTACATTAGTGTTTGACAAACATAAAATATTCAAAGCAAATTTATTCAGCAAACAGAAATGATTACTGTGTTTAAACCCACAGCAAAATATGGCATACTGACTTATATGATTATCTTTTCTAGTACAACTATAAAATATGTTCATTCTGAGTAACATCTAAATTCTCAATCTCTTAAGTGTATGTTAAGCTTAATGCTACTTTGTAAACAAAGAAATAACAGAAGGAAATCGTTCAGAAGACCATTTACACAGGCATTCAGTCACTGATCACAAGCCATATAAATTGATAATGGCGCCAATAATTCTGCTCAAACAGTTATGAAAATGCATCCAAAGGATTAACTCACTACTGACAGAAAAAAAAAAAAAAAAGAACACCTACCTAAAAGGGTCTCATCACTACAGCTTCCGTTAGTCAAGTACTTTCCCTCTGGGCACACGCAAGTGGCCCCAGAAGGGTTAAGCAAGCAGAGAAATTCACAGGCTAGCTCCAAGCAAGGGTTTGGTACTGATGAGGAGGAAACAAAAGAAAACAAAGAAATGTTTAAGTAAAGTTACAACTGGTTTCACGAACATAAAACAGCTTCTAAAAAGATGAATTGGCAATGTTCCAAATAAATCCCATCTATTTTTACACAGTGTTAACATTCTCTTTTACAGATGAAGAAAAATTATTATCCAGCATCCATAATTAATAAGAAAGATTTTCTAATTATGCTTTTTAAAAAAGAGAAGAAATTATTCAAATATATACTTTGTTACATCTTTGACTATTTAGTTTTCCAGAAAAGCAGTGGTCATAAAACTTGAAGAATAGTATAATACTGTGATTAACAGAAACATCAACTCACACCTTTGACAATCTTACTTTTAGTTCAGATATTCAGAATACTATTTAAATAACAAAAAATAACTTCCCTGGTGTATTTTCAAATGTGTAAATTCCATATATGTGTGTCAGATCACAACACAAAATATGACCTTTAAAAATGTTTTTAACTGTGTTGCTTTCCATCTGGTGGAGTATGTGTGCATAAATGGCCCATCTGGAAGGAATGTGTATATATAAATGTCTGCCATACATATTTATTTTCCAATTTGTTCTTAATTAACATAATTTTTAATCCAAAAAGACTAATAGCATTCTCTGGGGATTATTTTACTTGTGCATTATAGGAATGCTACCTACTTAGCTGAATTGGTGACCATGCCAGGTGACTTCTGCAAGAACCATTTCGCAAACTCCTTCTATATTCAGGTCAGGGATTAAGTTATATATGTTCATTTATTATGAATCTGGCTACCCTTGACTATGCCTAAGAATCAGACAGAACTAGGAGATGAGATGTATTAACCTTATTACCATATGTATCAGGTTATTGGTAGATCTACAAGAATCTTCTGAAGATTTTAAGACATATAGTAGAAACATTTTGTTTTAATGTATTTCAAAAATGTATTTGGATATATGTCAATTATTACTGTTCCACATGATTGTTCCAAACATGATAAAAATACCTTTACATTTATGAATAAATCTCAAATCATATCTTGAAAAATGAAATGATATGCAAAAACAGTTAATTAGAATGCCAGCTATGGTTTTGTTTTGTTTTATTAAGTTTGTTACTTTCATCTTCAATGTAGTTTGATGCTTTGTTTTTGTTTCGAGGTACTAGGGATTGAAACCAGCACCTCAGGAATATGAGGCAAACATGGTACCATGAAGTACCTTTCCCAGCTGGTCAATGTGTTTAAAATATATGTTCCAGTGGTTTTGCTGATACAATATGTTTACCTGCTCCTCTCTAGGAGGAAGAGTAATAATAATGAATCAGTAGAATTACAAATTCTGTGAAGAGATCTCATGAAAAATTTTAAGGCAAGAATGTTAATGTTACAGTAGTGACTTTCTTTTAGTAACAAGAATCAAAATTCCTTTGTTCATTTACAACTTCACAAGGTTTTACTAAGAATTTTAGAAAACCAGGATAATAGATGATTTTGTGGTGGAAGGGTAACTATAATTGGAAGAAAACAAAATTTCCCTACTTATTATGTCATAGATGGAAATTTACATTATTGGTATGTTGACTTTGGTCGTATGAAATTTTTGTTGACTGAACAATTAAGCTTACTGACTTACATGAATTAAGACAGAAAAATGCTAAGTTATAAACAATATATACATTTAAGGATTATATAGAGTCATTTACCAATATAGACAACCTTGTAAAATATTATACTTACAGTCTAATTGTTTATAACGATGAGATATTAAAACGCCTTTTGTTTTATCAACATGTAAAGCTAAGTACTCTACTGAACCATGTCCAAATTTTTGTACTCGAAATACGCCATTTTTTGGTCCTGCTCCATATATATAATCTTCAAAGATATCAATCCTATGTGGGTGTAACAAACCTGAAATTTTTAAAGAATGGTTATTAAAGTAGTACATGTGACCAGACCTACAGACACTAAGATTTTTTCTTTTCTTTTCTTTCTTTCTTTCTTTCTTTCTTTCTTTCTTTCTTTCTTTCTTTCTTTCTTTCTTTCTTTCTTTCTTTTCTTTTCTTTTCTTTTCAGAACCAGGGATTGAACTCAGGCCCTTGAGCGTGCCAGGGAAGCGCTTATGCTACAGAGCCATCTCCCCAGCCCCTACACTAAGTTTGCCCAAGATCATATAGAAAATCTTATTGCACCTATTTAAAGTTAGAATTGGAATGCTTTGAAACTTTCAGTCATGAAGTTATTAAAGTTTATTTCTTGAAACAGAGCTATTAGACTGTTAACACGCCCACCAGAACACAGAAATCAGTATCTTCTCCAGTTTGATCGCCTTTACCACGACCTACCAGTTGCTGGGAATTCTCAAGTGCAGATAACCTTCTCTGCTATACAAATGACAACGAAAGGCATACAGGATAAATTCATCTGCAGTGTGAACTCAGGAAGACGCTCCCAATATGTTTTCTAGAGCAAATTAGTAATTAAAATAGATTGGTTGAACATGTGATCAGGAGTTTTTTCTAAAAATAATTTTGTCTGTATGAGTAACAGTTTTGGAAAAAGAAAAAAATAAATAAGGAAACTATCTTTCTTTTATTTTCTTTTTCCTTTTTTTCTGTGTAGGGTCTTATTACACAGCCAGACTCATAGTGATCCTCCTAAAAAAATTAAATTAAATTAAAAAATAAAATAAAATAAAATAAAGGGCCAGGGAGATGGCTCAGTAGAATAAGCGCTTCCCTGGCAAGCGCAAGTCAAACACCGGTTCCGCAAAAATAAATAAATAAATAAATAAATAAATAAATAAATAATAAAATAGTGATCCTCCTAACTTCTGCCTCCCTAGTGCTGGGATTGCAGGCTTGTGCCATCACTCCCGGATTCCTTTGCCAGCCCAGCCCGTCTGGGGGCAGGGCCAGCACAGAATGGGGAGCCAGAAATTATCTTCCTACAATACCATCAAAAAGAGAGAGAGAAAGAAATACTTAGAAATGTACCTAACTAAGGGAAGTGAAACAACTTTAGAAGGAAAACTATGTCTAAGAGGATATTAAAAAACATAGATATACCCATTTCCTGCATTAGTAGAAACAATATGTTTAAAGTGGCCATACTTGTAAAAGTTATATAGATTTAATACAATCCCAATCAAAAATACTCATAACATTTTTTAAAGTCAAATGTTTGTTATTTTCTTTTTTTAAAATTTTATTGATAAACAGATAGCAATGAGACAGTTTCAAATCAAATCGAAAGTACAGTTTCAACAAATAACAACTGCATATATTCTTCTTAGTGGTTAATTGCTGTACAAGATGCGGACTTGAGATCCTATTTACAAACACCATTAGAACAAATCATTCTATTCATTAAGAGAATGCAACTATATATCTATCCTAACCACCTTGAATACACAGATACAAATTGGACATTCATCTGTATTGACAAAGGTTCTACAATCTGAGGTACAGGATCTCAGGATAAATCCTGACGGGATTTCACTGACCTTCTCAGACCAAAAAGCTACAACTCTTGTTGCACAGGTCCTGCTTTACCTTGGTCTTAACCATCCAGTAGAAAAGTATGAAGACGAAATATAGGAAGTAAAGCCTTGCTGTTATGTTGAGCTGTGGGGGACTCAGATCAATAATTTCCGACATTGCCAGTTAAACAGAGGACCCAATGCTATTATGGTCTGCTGGACCCTTTTGGAATGTTTTGCTGAGTTTACACACCTATAATATTCATAACATTTTTTAACAGAAATGCTGAAAACAAAACTACAGTCATAGGAACTAAAGAGAGTTGGAATAACAAAAGCATTTCTGGGCACAAAGGGAAAGGCAGAGTGCTTTGCAGTGCTGGACCTCAAGTTATGCTACAACGCTGCAGTGATTAAAACAACATGGAACTGTCAAAAAGACTATTGACAAATGGGACAGAATGGAAGATGCAGACACAGCTCCAGGAACACCCAGTTATGGGCCCTTCAACAAAATGACCAAACTCCTTTGCTGATGACAACATAACTACTTAGCAAATGGTGCTGGAAAAAACTATCTACCTCTGTACTAAACATTACAAATAGACCTATATGTATTACCATATAGTAAACCAAAATCAAGATGCATCAAAGATCTTTACATTTGAACAGAAATAATCTGCTAAAAATTAAAAATAGGTAAAACTCTTGATGAAATAGGTGTTTATTGTCTGAATAGGGCACTGGCTGTCCAACAAATAATACAAAGAATCAATAAATGGCATCAAATAAAGTTGAAAACCTTCTATACATTAAAGGTAATCATCAACAAAGTGAAGAAAACTTATAGAATATTTAAAAAATATTGTCATCTACTCAATGTACTAGCACCTAGAATATATAAAGAACTAAAGTAAAATGAAATCCCCCACATTTAGAGACCTAATTCAAAAGTGGTCATTTGAAGTGAACAGACACTTCTTAGATAAAGAAGCAAAGGTATCCAATAAGTTCATGAAGACATTCAACTGGCCCATCCAGAAACACAAACTAAAACAACACTAATATGCCATCTCATCCTGGAAAGAATGGCTGTGGTCAAGAAATTAACCAATAACAAATGCTGATAAGACTGTAAGGAGAAACGAACCCTTTTCCATTCTTGGTAAGATCACCTACTTATACAACCACAAGGAAAATCAGTATAGAAATTTCTCAAAAAGTTGAAATTAGAAATTTCATTTGACTCCACTTTTCCCCTTCTAGTTATTTCTCCAAAAGAGTTAAAAACATTATACGACAGTGTTAGATATATACCAGTGTTCATAACAGCACAGTTAATAATAGCTAAATATTAGAAACAGCCCATATGACCATCAACAGATGAATGGATAAGAGTTTACATTTATACACAATGAGTAATATTCTGCTACAAAGAAATGTAACTTAGAGACATGTGTAGGAAAAACTCGGATCCTTGGGCCCATAATAGTAAGTGAAGTAAATCAAATACACAAGTTGGATACAGCAGTTTCTCTCATATGAAAAAGTTAAAACATAAAAATGTATGTAGTAAAATGCACATAATAGGATAAAAGAGACAAAAAAAGCTGTACTCTGTTTCTGCTTCTGGTTTCTAGTTTCATTCCAGTATGGTCTAATTTTTTATGATTGCCATCTCTTTGGCTATGTTATGGTCTTTATTGTTGATATGAGTCTCTATTGAATGGTGTATATTGAATAATTAATAAATTTTCAGAATATGAAAGTAATCTGTGAACATAAAGAGTAGCTCTGTGGTTGCCTAAATCAGAGATTAGGGGTTGGGAGATGATTAGTAAAGTGGTATTTTTTTTTTATTTTCAGAGGGGTAATAATAACAAAAGTGATTTTGACAGTGGTTATGGTTGTATAATATGGTAAAGTCGGGGTGGCCAAAGAGCTCAGTGGATTAAAGCACCTGCTTAGGAAGACACCGGGGCTGGGAGTTCATCCCCAGTGTGCTTTACTGGCCCTGCCCCCGGGGGTGTGCTGAGACAGCAATTGAGACTGGGCGTGGTGGTGTGCACCTGTAATCCCAGATCTTGGGATGCTAAACACAAGAGAATCACTATGAGTCTGATCTAGTAGTGAGATCCTGAACACCATGTAGACCCTTCCCTAAAATATAATAAAAATGTTAAAGTCTACTGAATCATACACTTTGCATTTGTAAATTTTACAATATTTTAATTTGATTCAATAAAACTTATTTATTACAACAAATGAGATGTGGCAAAAAAGAAGAAGCCAATTGGCAAACAGAAATCCTTACATGGCAGTATGGGCTGAAAATAATTGTAACCATAAATTTTCACATTTGATAATTATTACTTTAAAAATTTTAATCAAGGAATGCGCAATGTAACTTGGGCATTAAAATGTCTAAAATATAATATGATAATATTTATATTTTCTAGTGATATAGAAATGTTAAAGCACATTACTCACATCTGTGTTTTGCTTCATTGTTTCTTAAATAGTAATAACATGTATGTCTAAACTGAGAGAAGTAAAGTTCACTTTAAATAAATATAGAGGTTCATAAAACAAAGGCTAATGGACATGAGAATCAAATAAGCACTAATAACTATTGCAATGGAGGCCCTCCATACCCTACTGTCACAAATAGATAAACTTGGCAAAAGATTCACAATGAAATACTGGAAATGAGCCAAAGTTTGAACAGATGGACAATACAAGTTCTTCTCAGGAATGTAGAATTTTTTTCCCCAGCTTAGGTCATAGGTTAAAAAAATGTACACAAAAGCACAATGAAATGGGGCCGGGGAGATGGCTCAGTAGAATAAGCACTTGGCTGGCAAGTGCAAGGGCCTGAGTTCAATCCCCGGTTCCGTCAAAAAAAAAAAAAAAAAGGACAATGAAAACCTGATTTAACTCCATTTATTCAAGTTCTGTGTTGTTCTTTAAAAATAGGAAGCACTGCTGCATTCATTATGCATAATATTACAACATAAAACTTTGTATATTACAAATAATTTAGGACTACGAGAACGAGAGGAGGAAAAATACAAAGGTAAGAATTACAATTGAACAGAAGAAGCTGACAGTTTGGAAGGGCTTCCTGAGGCACAAAAGGGAATTAGAAAATGAGAATAAAAAATAGGAATCAGACAAAGGGGTAGAAATAAAACAATTTGGCAGCCAAGGACCCCAGTGAGATTTGTGGTCACCAGTGGTAGAGATCAATTGTCACCTTTTCACACCAGCTTTCATTCCAATGAGGATATCATTCAATACCAATGACTTATTTGGTATTTTACTGAGTATAGTCCTGCTTTTTCTGCTTACAACCCTGTTGTTGGAAATTAAAATTAATAGTCTCCGGTTCTGTTCTCGAACACTTGATCGTCCTGTGCAGAGTGGCATAACTAGAGCTTAACAGAGTGATTTTCTTTTCACAGTCTGAGCAAATATGGCTCAGGATGGTCTAAGTCAAGAAGCCTTGATACACTGGCCTTCTTATTATTCTTGGAGGAGTGAAAACTTTAGTTATTATAAGAACTGCAAGTTGAAAGGAGAATTAAAGGAAAAATAGAATTCACAGCTTTCACACTTACATTGATATGTTACGATTTAATAGGCTCAACATCAACTGAAAGCCAAGCCAAACACTGCACCAACCTTGTTTGCTGCTGACAGAGACTACTGAATCGGAGCCGTCATACAGAACGCTTCCAATAACGGACAGCTCAACGTCAGCCCAGTATATTCGCTCAGTATGGTGATCCACGGCCAGGCCTGCAAAACAACACACACACACACAAACACACATATGAACAACAGGAAGAAATTTGAGCTGCATTAAATCTATGGTTTTGTTTTTTAATGTATAATTATGCTTCATATTTGTTTCAAGAATTAGAAAATTACATTTGCTCATTCTATATCATGGTCCTATCAAAATTAGAAAATGAAAACAACATAAGCCTTACCTCAAATACATTTGTTGTAATTACATAATATTTAGTTTTAAAAAGCTGTAAGTCTTATGTCACCTAAGAAACAGTAACCTATTTTCTCCTTCTTTTGTTTATTGGTTTCTTAATTATGGCCTCTGATAGTATTTAACTATTTCAAGTTTTATTTTAACAATATAAACAGAAGGAATAATTTAGACAATTATACATTTTTAAAAAATTGATTTGGTGTGTTTGGTTATGTGTAGAGTACCTTCATGAAGATATCTTTCTCTGAATATAAAAGACTTACAACTTAATCATAAGGTGAAGCTACCCAGAATTAGTCTGGTGTTGCTTAGCACCTTTGTACAGGCCATAGTTTAGAGACTGATTTGTACAGTAGGAAAGAACATATAACAAAGTCCATAATTAAGGTTTCTCTGGTGCTTCAGTTTTTCAATCTCATAACTGATTTGCTCAAAGACTAAGTGTATTCATGTTTAATAGGTGTCTGTCAGTGGAATAACAGTACACTAAAACAATACACAGCAACTTTTATTTTTATTTATTTATTTTTGTGGTACTAGGGATTGAACTCAGGACCTTGCGCTTGCCAGGCAAGTACTTATTCCACTGAGTTATCTCACCAGCCCTGCAAAATGGTGTTATACTTTCTTTTATTTTTAAAATATGATTAGAGTCCAGGCAGTATCTTTTTACAAAAATATCATCAACACACTAAGACTGCAACATTATGACTATCTCAGAAAGTGTAATTAATATAATTCTATAATCAATCTTGAGTGATATATATATATATATATATATATATTTATATATATATATATTTAATGCTATGATATGGCTAATTATTAGAAATGACATATTACATACTTTCAAAGGAAAATGCAATTAAAGTACATTTAGCAGATGAATGTGACATAGCTGCCCAATTAGAAAATTCAGTAATAATGGGAGGTGTATCTCCATGTCAAAGGAAATGGAATGAATGTTGTGTTTGTTCTAAACTTACATTCCTATGCAGATGGAATAAGACTGAACAAAGTCAATGAGAAAAACTAATTGATGAATAATTCTGTAGTTTAATATGTAGATCCAGAGCAAATGCAATCATGCTAAATATAAATATTGTCTTTCAAGTAAAATATAAAGATATAGCACGTCCAATAAGCCTATGGGAAATAATTAAGCACTTAAAGCAAGTGGTTCATGCTTTACTAAGCTCGGCTCGGTGATGGATTGGCTATTTGGAGCCATGTTTGGAGCTACTTTGCTTCTTTGTGTATAATTATGAGTAACAAGAACCATAAAATGATCCAGTTTCCTGCTGCTGTCAATGTAGTTCAGAGAAGTTATCTAATAAGGATTAAAAACACTTTTATCTTTCTTCTCAAATGCAATAAAGTACATTAAAAACCTCTGACCAACAAAATTTATTTTATACACAAATATTAAACTTGCTAATCACAGAAGAGAAGAAAATGAGTATCTGAACCAACTTAATGAAAAATATTATTTTTTCAGATTTAGCAGCATCAGACATATGATGCACCTACAGTGCAATATATTGCATTGGCAGGTTTTCTTGCCCACGATATACTTATCTTTCTCAGTTCTTGTACCGTTCTATATTATTGGGCAGAATTATATCTAGATAAAAATTATAAAATAAAGTTTTTAGATAGTTGAGATTTATATTACAAAAATCCAAAATCAATGACTTAGAGTTTTTCTTAAGATCTTTAATAAAAGAGATAGTCTGTTATATTAAAAAGTTAATAAAGAATCAACTGTTTCCTGTGGTAGTGATAAAAGTCAAGTTTATATGAAAGAATAAGTTCTTGCCTATCTCTAAAATATCGTAACTTCTTTCTCATTTAATAAAAAAGTCAATAATAATTTTTAAAAAATAAATTATTAGGAATATTTTATATGTGAACTGGTAATGGTAATATATGGACAAAAGTTAACAAAAGAACTAAAATGTGGAATAAAATGATACACTCATTCTAATCAGCATAACAGAATCACAGTTTGAAAAGTACATAAAATAAATACCCAAACTCATTATACTGTACTTGGTAATGCATTGATCCTGCAGACATTGTCTTAGTACTATGACCAAGACTACTGCTACGTTTAAGGGTATCTCATTGTTTAAGCACATTTCCAAAGTGTCTCCAATGGTTTTCCTATCTCCATTTTAGTCTCATTTCTGTTAAAAGGATTCATGTTGACTCTACCATTTTTTATTTTTCTTTTTCCGTTTCCTTTTTTTTTCTTTTTGTATTTAGGACAGAGTGTACAGGGTCTCACTGTGTAGATCAGACTCATAGTGATTATCCTGCGTTTAGCCTCCCAAGAGCTGGAATTACTGGCACATGCCACCATGCCCAGTCTCAATCGCAGCCTCAGCGTGCCCCGGGGGCAGGGCTGCCATGGCAGGCCCTGGGATTGAACTCCCGGCCCCTTCCTCTGCCTAAGTGGGTTCTTTAATGTGCTGAGCTATTTGGCAGGCTCCCTGAGTCCACCATTTTAAATGAAATAAATCTGACACAAACGGATAAAGATATGAGAAATATAAAATACAAATAAAGAGAAAAATAATAGTCAGATTACAGAAAATGGGGAGACACCTTTTGCAAAGGGGAATGGAAACCAAAGATGGAGGAGAGGGGTAGAGAGAAGGAGGGGCAGAGAGACACAGAGGCAAGTCATGTACATGCAGAGTTCCCGGGAGGAAAAACGTTATGGACTAAAACCTTGCAGTAATACAAAATAACAATGTTATAAAATAAAATAGGAAATCAATAATATTCTCAGGAGAAGTAATCATATTTCCAAGGTAATATTAAAGGAAAAATCTAGACACAACAACAAATTTGAAAAGCTGTGCTTTCTGAAATAGAGAAAAGGGTTGCATATATTTTGTTGAAAGCACATGGCAAGATTTGTAAAATAACAAATCAGCAAGGGTGCACAATGATGTTACTGACTTTAAAGTCATACAGAGGGGCTCAAAAATTGAATGATTTTCAAACCTTGTGAAGAGTGGTTTTGAGATAGTTCTACTTAGATTCTATACTACATTAAAATTATTTTTGTATGTATGGAAATTTAGAGATTTATTTTTATATGTACATACATACAACTCACAAAAATAAAGGCATCAAAAATAGCAAATTATTCCTGAATTTTGTATTCAATTCCTTTCATAACATTTTTCCAACAACAAATAATGTTCTTAAGCAATTATGACTGATTTGGGGCTGTTGTATAGTTCCTGGTACCTGGTATCAAATTCAGGACCTTGAACTTGCCAGCCAGGGGCTGCACCACTGAGCTATATTCCCAGCCTGGTGTACAGTTCCTTCCTATTTTTCCTGAAATTGCTGCAATTTTGGAGAGATACAAGGCAACATAAATGATCCAACCAGAGTTTTTAGAGGCTTAAAAACCATCCAAGAGTTTTGGTACTTAGGTCAATCTCGTGTAATATTACACTTTTGTACTTAAAGCTTAACCAGAAAGTGTCCTTTCATGATGATACAGTCATTAATTCACCATGTACTCATGCAGCCCTTTCCTTGTTCCACATACTCCCTGGGACAAGGCACAGAGCAATGAATGAAACAGCTCCTGTTTTCGTGCTGCATGGTGCTCAACTACAACGCACTGGAATGAAAAATTGATGTTGTACTTCTTGTGTTTGTTAAGGAGTCCTACTTGAATACACCAAATATGCTAGCATACCACTTGTCTCAGGAGGCCTTAAAACTATCCCACTGGTTAAATTTTTAAAAGTTGTAAGTATCCAAATATTCATTCACTCAACATAGAAGAGTTTTTAAGAACATACTAATTACTGACAATATAATATGCAACACAGGCTGTAGCAGGAGTATTAATAATGGGCTTTGGTTTAAAACAGTTGTGTCCTGGGCACATAGAATATAAAGACATAATGATTACTGCATGGTGATGGTGGATGATGAAGCACTGAGCATGGAGAGAAAGGGTGTGGCAACACCGGGGAAATAAGGTGACCTACGCTTTTGCTAAGCTGGCAGGTCTGGTGCCAGGAGTGGACTATTTGACTAGTTAGTATAATTCTAACTGTACAGCACATATGCACTGCAGAAGACACAGAGATAAGTTCCTGTCCATTCGTGTTGGTTACCTATGGGGGTACTCTTGGCACACTCTCTGGGGAATAATCAAAAGTACTGTGCAAATATTTGTCCATGGATACGTAAAGGAAAGATACCATTTCCTATAAAATTACAATGCAAAATACCACATTTCATGTTTGGAGATTAAAAAAACAAAAACTGAAGTTACTGATTTTAAAATGATACCTTAAGTTTGAGAGCACTATTTATATGCACCAGAAAAATACAGAAGATAGATGTTAGACTAAGATATGAACATAGGAAAGGTTTAAGCATTCTTCTATGAAAAAAAGTGTATTTGTATAAGTTCACTTTCACCCATAAATTAAGCACATTCATGTAAATGCAGAATGTTTTATTAATGGCCAATTCTTAAATTTTCACTTTAGAGTAATATTCTATGTCTGAAAGTAAAATTATGCATTATTTTCTAAAAGATTCCTGAGATGTATTTTGACTCATATATGTAACAGTAAAATTTGACTACAAATGTACCTAGGAATTATTAAATCCTATGGAGATAGTATCAAGAGAGATACTTGTTCAATGTATCACTTTCTAAGCCTGTGATGGCTCTTGGTCTATAATCCCAACCCAAAGATATATCGAGGTAGTAGATAAGATTGTTAGAATTATAGCAAGATTCTGCTCAAAATATTTAAAATGGAGTCAAGCTAACTCTGTGAGATCTAGGTCCAAAAAAAATATTTCCTGCTGTGCTATAAAATTTCCAAAATTTATTCTGCCTAACAATCCATGGCCTTGTAACACAATGACCAACCTCTCACCTTCATTCTCATTTTTCTCCATGTCTAACAATTACTATTTTACTTTCTTTATTATTTTCTTTGAATTTCTGATACTTGAAAAGGAAGCCACTTCCTTACTAGATAAATGTGACACAACTGAGCCACACCTCTCACCCCTTTTCAATGATTTTGAAGCAGGGTCTCACTTAAAATGGAAAGCTGGCTCCAAACTTTCCGTCCTCCTGGTTTGGCTTTTCAAGGAGCTACAGTTACAAGCATGCACCTTGTTACAAGCATACACCTTGTAACTGTAATAGTGGAGTCCTCCCCTCTCCACTTCTCTGCAAAGTTTTAAATTTCTTTATTACTGAGATCACTTTAGGCACTGTACTTCATAAATATATACATATATTGTGTCAAAAATTATTTGAAATTTTATATCTACTACTATTATTATTATTATTTTAAAGTTTATTTATTTGGTACAGTGTCTCACTGTGCTGCTTTGACTTGTTGTGATCCTCCTGTTTCAGCTTCCCGAGCGATTGGATTATAGGTGTGCATCACCACAACCAGTCTCAATGGCTGGCTGGCTTAGCGGGCCTGGAGCAGGCTGACTCTGCATGTGGTACTGGGGATCCAGCCTGGGTCCTGGGACTTGCCTCGTTGGGCTCTTTAGACTACTGAGCTATCACCATGGCCCTTCATATCAATTATTTTTTTTAATATTTATTTATTTATTTATTTATTTATTGTGTGTGTGTGACCAGCTCAGCCCACCAGGGGGCAGGGCTGGCTGGCATGTGGTGCTGGGGGATTGAACCGCGGTCCCTCTGCTTTGCTTGGCTTAGCTTGTTCTAAGTAGGTGCTTTAGACCACTGAGCCATCTCACCAGCCCCCATATCAATTATTAAACAACAGGCCATGAAGTAAAGTAAAAGACTTTTACATCCGAGTTTCAAAACAGAATTATAATTAATAAAGAATGAGTAATCCTATCAAATTAACAAAATATATATAAAAAAATGACGTGGCTAACAATACAAGTGTTTGGAAATTATACTGAATAATACATGACATATTCAATGATTTGTCATGGCACATTACACATTTATTTTTATAATTATCTTTATCCCTAGCATACTTAACAAAATTCATTTTGGTTTTAATATCTGATGTAAATGAGCCATTTAAATCAGGTGTTTTGAGGTAAATATTATCATATTCACTTTAGAGATAAGAAAATTGATGTTCAGTGTGCACTCAGGTTTAGCAATTTAAATTGGAACCTAGGGCCAGCCAAATAGCTCAGCAGATTAAAGAGCCTGCTTAGCCAGACTCCGGGGCTGTGGGCTCAATCCCTGGGCCTGCAGTGCCAGTCCCAGCAGAGGGATGCAATGAGAGGGCAACTGAGACTGGGTGTGGTGGTACACTCCTATAATCCCAGCACTTGGGGGCTATAAACAGGAGGATCACTATGAGTCCAATCTATGCAGTGTGACACTGTATACCCTTTACACCCTGTCCTAAATAAAAAAACAAAATAGTCTTAAATTGGAAACTATATGGTGGAAGGCTGATCCTCTTCATCCTAGTCTTTGTGCCTTTTAGGTGAGGTCATGGGCTCTGCATGGTGGGGTGGAGCATCTACCTTTCGAAATTCCTTTTGGCTATGGTGACAGTAAGTTTCTTATGTACTATTGTTTAGATACATTTGGAGTCTTCAACTTTTTCTCTTGACTTTTCTTAAAATAATCATGTCACAAGATTCTACCTTTTTAATCTTACTTTCCGATCCCTTGTCCGTGTTATTCTCATAATTAAATACAGTGCCTGCACTTGCTGCTAATTCTGATGAATAGCAGCAAGTGGCAATTAGTGAACATTTAATATTTTTAACAGTGGAAGAAGCAAAGGAAAATAGTAAATGTTTGACTGCTTTTAGGTTATTGATTTTTTTTATTTTTTATTTTGAAACTGGGAATTGAACTCAGGACTTTGCATTTGCCAGGCAGGTTTTATGCTGCTGAGCTGTCCCTCTGGCCCCAAAATTATTGACTTCTTATCTGTTTAGGATACATTTTTCCTACCTCTTCTATATCATAGGCAGTCTTAATTTCCACTGTAGCAATCCTGCTTTGAATATATATATATATATATATATATATATATATATATATATATATATCTTCCCTTTTCTATCTCTCTTATACTGTGCTATTAATCTCTGGCTAATTAAAAACTATTAATAGCAATTACCTAGTTTGAGTTTCTATGACTACTCATTAATGGGCTTAGTGCTGCCAAAGGAATATTTCTGAAGATACATCTTATTCAAATCACCAGTTAAGTTAAAACTGTACTAAAGGTCATTACTAGCTACAAATGAAGTCGAATTATATCACCATTGAAGAGTCTCTACTTTAAACTCATATATGTTGACATCAGCAAGTGAAACTCCTGGCTCAGGGCACTGTCTTAGTTTATAGACAAAATACTATTGTTTGTGATTTATTATTGTTTTTGGTGCTTTTTAATGAATAACACAACAGTTGTAGATAAGTAGGAGTTTCATTTTGAGGTCTCTCAGCTAGTAAGTGATTCCCTGGGATTCAAATTCAGGTGTTTGTAACTCTAAAAATATCTTTGTAGAAATGTCCATACATTGGATTATGACCCTACACTTCAAATGTTGACCTGTCCTTCTAGTATGTGTTTGGCTTACCGACTTTTTCCCCCAAATCTTTTTATTTATTCACCGTAACCTTATGTTTCAACTCTGTTGATATTACAAAACCTGAACTAATTATCCCTTTCAGGAAAAATTCCACTTAGATTTGATAGTTTTATTTCCATTTGCATATGTAGATTTCCTGAGAAGGGAGGGGACCATCCTCATCCTGAAGTGACCTGAGTGCTGGTCATCCACGAGAGGAAGACGTTCAATATGGAAGTCTTCCGTGAGGTCTATTGTAAGAGATGCTGTGGGCTCTGGCGCCTTCCTGGGCTCCCTTCATAGGCGGCAGCACTCCACCAGTAGCTGCCTGAGCACCTGAAGCCTCACATTTAACCTCCTTCTCCAGACAACTGAACTCCATTTATTGGAGCAGACTTGCCTGGGAAGTTACAACCCAGAGGCCGATGGGTCACTGATGGCAATCATAGAAACAGACACTTGTCTGCCATGGAACTGTTGCTGTTCAGCATGTCCCTCAAGTGTCTCGATTTTACATGGGACCCATTTTTTGTTGGCTCTTTTCCTTTTTTACTCCATGTTTTTACAGATTTTCCCTGAATAGCATTCCCCTCATAAATAAACTGCAAGAATTCTCACCTCAGGCTTCCTCTAGAATACCCTACTACAGCAAATTCTACAAGCTGCTGCCACAGCCATCATTTAAAAAGAAAATGTGGTGTATACTACCATTATGCAAAATGTTAAATCCGAGGTGTTTTTCTTTAAACTAATCTTATAACTTCTCTGCAAGGCTAAAATTAGTTAGAAACTAAAAGTCAAAATAATAACTGCAAAGTGCCTACAAAATAAAAATTACATTTGATCTGATTATGCTGCTTACCTCCTTGCTACCCTCCTGGGGTTTCCTACAAGGTAGACTGGAAACAAACAGGTATCAGTGTCCTAGTCCCAGTGCTACACTCATAACCAGCACATTCCGGGTCTGCTTATATGCTCAGAGCAAAAGTAAAATTCTTGCTGTTTTTGACACGATAAGCGCATTCTAAGTGAGAATTTCTTATTCTGCCTGTATACAAAGTTCTTGCCTCATATATGTACATAGCTGGATCCTTCTATCTATTTAAGCCACGCCATAAGTATCAGCTTTCTAAAGATTAATTCTTTGAGAATCATGACTGTACTATATCCTAAATAATTGTTGGTCTCTAATAATGAATGTATTTTTACATAGCACGAGTAACCAAGCAAAATAATTTAGATGCATAATTTATCTTCTAGAAGACAGATTTAAGGAATGTTGATACTTGCTTGACAAAAACTTGTTTCTTTAGTTCTGTATCTGGAACTATTTTTGGCAGATGGTAGATGTTTCATTACTATGTGTTCTACCCACAAATAAAGATATGCTTATGCCAATGAAATAATTCCCAAAAGTTTTTCGTCCCCATAGAGAGCAAAAAAATAAATTTAGTTCAATAGCAAAATGCAAGATATATTAAAATTTAATGAGAATATGTGTAAAATAAATTTAAACTGTAAAATATATTATAAAGCACAATATTAAATAACATAGACTGTGTTTGCAGGCAATGCTTCCACTCTTCTTAAGGGTACAGAATGTGGACTGTATGGCACAGTTTTTCCGAGGCTCCTGCTCTGAAGAGGTTTTTTACAGACAGTGCTAATTGCTAGAGCTGGCAAGGTGGGCAAGATTCATCTGGGCAGAGAAACATGAGGAGGGCATTCTCAGGGAGGAGCTATAGGAAAAGCGACATTGGAGAATAAACACAAACAAGAAGAACTGAGTTTAGAAGAAGCCTTGAGTTTCAAGTTTCTGGCTCAATATCTAATATAGCATCCTGAGAGGGAAATTGAAAGCATTAATATATATCTTTATAAATATCCTAACACATTGCTGTAAAGTGTCAAAATTTTTATGCATGTGAAATTCCACTAATACTCTCAGGGTTTTCAGATAACACTCCTATAATATAACTGGCAGAGGACTTTCAAGTTGGAAAAGTACAACATGAAATGTTAATGAGTTCCATGAAATCACACTATAAATTATTTTATATACTTGTAAAAATGATCATATTGTCAAGGAAAGTAGAATTAATTGTTAGGTGCTTTGCATCCTGTTTCATAGCGTAGCATGCTGTTGGAAACATAGCATACCCGTGGGTCTCTGTAAGTTCTTTTGTACTAAAATTCTTCTCAGAGTACCATCCATGGCAGCCTCTTCAATGTGGGAGTGATCCCCAATGACTGTCCAGTACATCATCCTGGAGAGAGGCAGCAGAGGATGTTCGGTGAGAAATGGTGCAGGTATAAATAATCTTGTGCTTCCCAAAGCAGGGTCTCATCACACCACATGCAAAAGACTTCCCCAGAATGTCATAACACACAAAATACCAGATCCAACACATGAAGTAGGAATGGTATAAAAGGAGGCCTTGCACATCAGCATTTGAAAAAAGTGTTACATAAACTCACAAAAATTTAGAAAGCACAAAAATTTAGAAATTTAATAGGCTATGCCACAGATACTTATTTGAGATACAAACTTCAATTTATTTTTGAAAATCCCATTAACACCTCAGAAGTAAAGTTTTCTCACCATTTGAGACCAACTTCTTGCTAAAAAACAATATACATTATATTATGTTTACTACACTAATATGCTTTTTAGATAGATAATTAAATATTAAGCAAAAATTATCTTCTCATTAAAAAGACAACATATTGTATAATTCACTAATGGAAGTTATGTATCTATTTATTTTATGAATGTCTAGCATCTTTAATATTTTCCTGTTGTGATTTGGTCATTGTTGTAGCTTTCCTTCTTTAGGCAATTTAAAAGAAATGTTTGTCTTATGTTTTAATATTTGCATATATATATCCTTATCTTTTGCTATCACAAATAACCAAACATATTAATGTACCACTTCTAATATGTTTTATACTAACAAAATCAAATTATAGGTTAACAGCAGTATTTTTTAGTTTTTTACATCAGTCTCTTCTTTCCAATTTAAAAATATTGAACCACACAGAGATGCATAAAGAGACATACATATACTGAATGTATAATTCAGGAAAGCAAATTAAATATTTTTGTACAGAATACAAAATATAGGAATATTTAGAGGACTTGTGACTTTATTAGATGTTGAACACTTGTTGCAGGAACAAAATGACAAAGCACAATCCTAAGAATTTGCTCATATGAAATTTTGCTGGTATAAAACCCCCCAGCCAACAACCTACCCTCTTTTAGGGTGCACAGCAATAGCGTAGGGCTCTCCAGCCATGTTTGTGAGGAGACGGGTGCAGTTAGAGCCGTTCAGCTGGCCCACGTTGACTGAGTACCTCAGATTTGCCCAGGGCGTGGTGTAGTAACTAAACCAGTGCATTCTGGAATGATCCGTCCAATAGATATTCCCAGCAACCCAGTCTACTGCGATGTCCCTGGGCCTTTTAAATTCAGGACACTAAAAGAAAAAAGAGCACACTACAGTATTTTCCAAGAAAACTTACTGTAGCCTTCTGTATCTATGAGGTAGGGGAATCCCAAGAAATTTTCCAAGTATCAATTATTACAATAATTTCAAGGATATTGTTTATTATCTATCTATCTATCTATCTATCTATCTATCTATCTATCTAATCCTTAATTACAAAAATCACTAGAACTTTAGGTATGGCTGCACCACATTCCCACTGTGATATTTCCAGAACCACATGAGGTTCTCCTGTGACAGCTCTGAGTAGATATTTCCCTGAGATTAACCATATTTATGATATCTAGCGGCTGACATTACTTTAAATGAACTCATATAAGTAGAGACTTCCTTTTCTATTACTGGCTTCCTGTGCCCAATGTCATGTCTGTGAAATCCATATTGTTGGGTAGGATATTATTCCATAAATACAAGAAAAAATGTTTACTATTATACTCCTGTCTATTTGCATTGTTCAGAGTTTTAGTCTATCGAACTAATGAATATCTTTGTTCATGTCTTTCAGTGGGCATGAATGTTAATTAGAGTTATTCATCCTGACATTGCCTAGCTTGAACAGATATTATCAGAGAAAAACATTATGGTTTGTATTTCTATGAATTATTTGCACCTATGTAGGAATGTACAGAATGCTTGTCATCTTCATCACACAAAATTTGAATTATGAATTTTTAAAATACTACAGAGAGCTGCCATTTCATGACTGTAACTAAGCGTCAGTGTCTTTCCAGTAGCATGGGTTTTCTATCACATATAATATTTTACAGAATCGTTATGGGATAAAGGTAAGACAACTCATTAGGAACAGACAGCAAACTACTTTTCAAGTGATCACTTGAAGAGCTTTTTGATGACTTTCAGTAGGAACTATGACAGTAATTAATTTGACATTGTCAGATTTATTTTCAAAGCCAAGAACGAGGAGAGATTTTCAGTGGCATTATATCAAACATAGAAACAGTTACTGGAAGGTGTTCACAATTAGACATGTAGTGTCTAAGGATACCTGGGAACGAGAGAAATTATGGTAATTTAAAACTTCATAGTTTCTTGCTAGAGTTAAAGAGAAGGTAAGGAAGTAATCTGTTTGGAGTAAGTGAGGGGAAGATAAAAATCTTAAAAAGAGCATAAAATATCACAATAACAGGTTTGATAAGCATAGCTATATGATTACTATGATGTCCAAAAAGGGATCTATGATCCAAACTAAATGCATGATTCATAGAAAATTTCTAATGATCATTATTACAACTGTTTTAGAACTGAAACCATAAAATTTTAAGTTACTTTGTCAACTCTGACAATAAATGTTATCCAAGTACTGAGTAGACAGCTATTTCAGTTAGCTAAATTAAATATAATGCACTCTATAAACACAAGGTGCTTTAGAAATAATCCTATAAGTAATATTTATAGCTAGTAAGAATATGAACATTTGTCACAGCTAAGCCAAAAAATAATTGTAAATGTATCATCTAAATTAAGGGTATCTTTTCAGTTTGACATCACTTAAAGTTAAATAAATATATATCACCAAGTGTCATATACATATCTGTTAAATTATAACTTTATAAACAAGGAGATATTTACAAAATTACCATTATAAGATGTTTGGGGTCTGTTGTGTTGTATTTATCATTTTCTAATACTGCTAGAACAAATCTTCAGAATGTTCACAATTATGTTACCTTTAGCATCCAAATATCAGTCATTTAGCATGAGTATGGAAAAGTAACTTTTCCCTTTATCAGATGTAAGTACATTTGCCTTATTTCTTTTGTTTTTCCCTTCTGTTTTCCATTTATTCACCTAATATTTTATCCTAATTATATCTCTGACAAAATTTGACATAGTTCATGCAAAAATCCTAAGTTCCTCACATTTATAAGGCAGTCAGAAGTTTGATTTAGTTATACATTTTATTTCAGTAAATGAGCTGCTGAAAGTTCTACTAATAATCTTACAAAAGAACAAAATAAATTTAGTTCCCATTTCAGGTCTGAAGAACACATGTTAGAAGAAAGGAAAAATCTTTCTTTCCTGCTAAATAGAAGAGATATTGAACACTCGTCATTTAAATCTACATGTTTGTGGTCTGGTTTCTCGATCAAGAGATTTATTATTGCCCCTAGTAAGAATGAAAGTAGCTGGAAAATGAGATGAAAATACAAGATAAAAGATAGTCAAATCCTAGCATGATGACAGCATCACTGAAGAGATGACCATCAAGGAAGGTGGTGTGGGTGCCAGGAGTTCATCCTCAGGGATTCCCCCGCATACCGAACACTCACTGATCTTCAAAACTCAAGGGAGCATTACAGAACAAAAAAGAGAAGAAGAGGAGAAGAAATGAAAAGAAGAAAAAGATGGTGGAGCAGAATATGTTAGCGAAGAAAAGGCTGACTAGTAGCACAGCGAGTTGGAAAGAGTAAGATTCCACTATTCTCAGACCTGTGGCTAGATTAATCAGTCACCCTTAGCGGTCAACTCAGAGAAATGCCATGCTTCCTCTTGAGTGCTCACTGCTTGACCCTGTAGTGAAGACTGAAGCTAACTCTATATAAGAAGCTCACACTGAACTTTCCCTGCTGGAAAGAGCAAGCCTACCATTCCTACTGAGTCTTGATCGTCCAAGCATATTTTATGGAGAGGTAATGAGCCAATTAAATAAAGAAACATGGGAAAACACAAAATTAAATTGAAGATCGTACAAGGAAGATGGAGAATAGCATAGGAATATAGAACAGGAAATTTTAATCCACCTGCTCTTAAAGAGATTTAAAAAATACTTTCACACCAGTTTGGAAAGAAACTAGGACTACCAAACTTGTATTTGATCCCTTGGATAGTTCTCAAGACAGATAACCCAATGAACAGACATGAAAATAACAAATGTTATGTTTAAGAGATAGGAGAATCATACAGTTACCCTGACAACAAACAACATTGTTCATATTGCTGCACGAAGTAAAAGGCATGTTTAACTGCTTTTTTAAAACAGATGGTCTCTTTCTTAATAAGCTTTCTAAATACAGAGGGTAAAATTAGGGCCTAAATGGTTCTTTTTGCTAAGATGTATTAGTCAAATTAACGAACACTTAAATCTTCTTTCTTTCTTTCTTTCTTTCTTTCTTTCTTTCTTTCTTTCTTTCTTTCTTTCTTTCTTTATTTTTCTTTCATTTTCTTTTGTATTTTTTAGGAACAGGTCTACAGGTTGTCAGTGTCTCACTACTAGATCAGACTCATAGTTATTCTTCTGCTTACAGCCTCCCAAGAGTTGGGATTACAGGCGCGCAGCACCATACCCAGTCTCAATTGTCTCAGCACTCCCCAGGTGAGGGCCTGGCTGGGCAGGTCCTGGGATTGAACCTTTGGCCCCTGTGCCTGCTTGCAGGTGCTTTAATCCAAGGAACTATTTGGTTGGCCCTAATACTTAAACTTTACATAAAAAAATTCAGTTCAATTATAACAAAATTTGAGGTCAATACTTTAAATTATGAATTTTGTAAGGTATCACCTTTCTACAGTTTTCAATTGTGAGTTGTCTATCACAATTCTAGATTTACTAAACTAAAGATAAAAGTAACTGAAGTCATTGTTTTAAAAGAGTAAAGAGAAGAAAAATAAAGGTGGGGAGTTTCTACACTTCAACTATGGAAATAATGTCTTCTGTTTAGCGTAAGTAATATAGTTAGAAATATGTTTTAAGAAAATATATATAGTACAGGTTGGTTGGAGTGATAGGATATAGATTATTTGTGTGTTCAATTTTTTCATAATGATGTTTATATGAGAAATTTCAAAAATAGCCTTTCAAAAATTATCAAAGGTAATGATATCTTTATAAAATTCTATGAAGAAGAAAAATGATGTAAATTCACTATCAATAAAGTGTGTATGTACTGAATCATTTCAGATCACATAAGATAAAATACATACAAAGAAGGGTATGGAAATAAAAGTCTGACTAAAGAATTTCTAAATATAATATTTATAGTACTGATTCAATAATATGATAATATTGACATATATTTCAATTAAGTTAATCATTTATTAATGATGAAATTCAATGAGAATAATAGAAAATCACATATTTATTAACAAAATCTATGAGGTGAAGTTTCTTTTTTTCAAGTTAATTTGATGAATATATTATTTGTCTGAGCGATTAATAAGACTACAGTGGAGCCAGTGAGATAGCTCAGCAGATTAAGCACCTGCTTAGGAAAGCACAGGGACTGGGGTTTGATCCCCGGCAGCACATGCCATGCTGGCCATACTGCCAGGCATGCTGAGCTGACCACCGAGTCCAAGCACGGTGATGCACCTCTGCAATCCCAGGACTGGGGAGGCCCAAAATAGGAGGATCACTCTGAGTCTGAGCTGCGTAGTGAGACTCTGTACCAAATTACA